TAACTCAAGCCAGCCAAAATCATCTGCCCGATGGCAAAATAGCAGTGAGAAATCAGCACTGCCTTAGGCCTGGAGGAGACACCAATCCATTCTGTGACTGAAAAGAGGAGGAACAGAGGTTCAGGGTCATCTCGCAAATGATTACCCCTGGTGCCAGCAGGGTGTTTCCCATGGAGAAGAGCTCTGCAGAAAGGAGAAGAGACAGAAGGGAGAGCTCTGGCATCCATCACACACACAGGTCATCATCCATGAGATGATTCACCTCTCCAGGTTTCCTGCACCTCTGCAAGGGGACATGAAGCTCAGGTATGTCTCCCCTTGACTCCCACTCAGGGCTGGGGAGATGCCAAAGAGCCGCAGGGCAGTACAGAGCAATACCTTTCCTCACCCTGGCATTTTTCACGTCATGCACAATGATTTTTATTTCTTCACAGACCTTTTCTATTGCAACTTGAAAGGCCACATCAGTCTGCCTCAGGGCATCCTACTCACCTAAGGACAGTATTGTTATGGTGATCCCTGTCACCGAAGCACCCATGACACATCTGAAGGCCACGTACACATAGAAATGGGGCACAAAGGCAATTCCTACACCAAACAAGCCCTGGAGTAAGACGGAGCTCAGAATAACGGGTCGGCGGCCGATCCTGGGGAGGAAGAGGGAAGACACAGTCAGCATCTGGAGAGACCCCATGGCGATGGGGAAGGCCCCAGTGGGTTACACAGTGAATGCATCACCCTCTTTTGAGGGTGATGAGGCTCAGACTGGACTCCCAGTTGCCATATGAAGCACCCTGAGCACATGCCATGCCCTTCTCCCTTCCACCTTCCCATCTGGCCATGTCCTCACAGGACCCTGAGGACTTTGGTCAGGGTCCCTGTTAGTGAGGAGAGGTGACAAAACAAGCAGGATGCAGTGCCCGGCCAGGCTGGGAGCAGGGTGCTGCTTTGCACAGACCCTGGACAGGGGGCTGTGCCTCCTCACCTGTCACTTAGAGGCCCAAAGATCATGGATCCTAGGAGCAGCCCTGCCATGTAGACAGACTGGGAGATGTCGTTCAGGTCCTTCCTGTCACACACCAGGTCAAACTGGAGGAAGGAAACAGAGATGCTTTTGTTCTTGATGGGCTCCAGCTGCTTTCTGATTCCACCCCCAAGGATGTGCACACAGGGACAAGTCTGAAGGTTATCCCCAATCTGCAGAGGGGCAGCTGGAGCAGGGAGATGGAAAAGGTCCCACCAGGAGTGATTAAGGTCTCCACTGTGGCCCCATATTGCAGCCTGCATAAGGAACCTCTCCCGGACCACACCTGGGAGCTGGGTGGTAGACCCAAGGTCCCCAAAATACACCTGATCTAAACCCAGCCCAGCCCGTTTGCACAACAGCTGGCACCAGCACTGGCTGAGCCGCAGGACAGGGCGGTCATTTGGGTGCCCCATCCCTCCCCCTCCACCTCCCCAGCACATCCAAAGGCGGTTACAGACCTCGGTCACCAAGGACGGTGGTTGTCCTGAGGGGGACACCCAGCCGCTGCTGCACTTCTCCGTGGCGTTCAGGCCGTACGCCATGATGGAGCCAAGGTCCCAGTCCACTGGTGAGTACATGGAGCACTGCTCGTACGCCCCATCTGCGTCCCGGGGCAGGGTGAGGTTCAGCTGCTCTTCCTCGGTCAGGTTGGGGCCGACGGCAAGGATCCAGCTGGTGTTGCAGTGATGGGGCACGTATGGAACCATGAAAAGCTGGCAGAACTGATGGAAAGCCACACTGAGGCATGGAACCAAGGTGAACAGCACCAGCCGCTTCTGAAATGGCCCAAAATCACCGACCGCTTTCAAAATTTCCCCGACACCCGACATCGGCAGCTGCGTCTGGGACAGGACAGTGCTGGGACAGCCTTCCCAGAGGGCTAGAATTAATGTTTAAACCTAAGATAAGCTCTGCAGTTGTAGGCAGCCACCACAGATACGTCAAGTCAGGGTAGACTGATGTTTTACCTGTCCTAAGTACACCGTGTAATACATTAATCACCTCCATGCCACCCACGAACGTTCAGTGGTGGCTGGAGCAGAAAGACCCCTGCTCCAGGCACCCTCATCACCTCCTCCACCAGGGCCAGGTGGCACTGACGGGGAAATGACTCTTCTCCAAAGCAACTGCAGGAGCTGCATTTGCTGAAGCACTGAAATGGTCCCCAGCGGCTCCACTTGGGAAAGAGGGGCCAGGAGAGCCCAGTGTGCTGCAGAGCTGGGAAAAGTCACGAGGAATAAAGGGAAGGATGCTAACGGTTGGGAAGAGCTGGGGATGAGGAAGGGCAGGCAGTTGGCTGCGGTCCCACACAATGGGAGACTCCATTTCCTTCATCTTTTGCAGCTTCCTGGTGCAACCATGAGGAAGCCACGTGTGGGATGACCACTCTGTTCCCACCGTTTCTGGGCCACCCCGCAGCTGGTGGGGGCTATGATGTGCAGCGGAGACCTGGGGAAGGCACAGAGGGATGGGAGAAATCTGGCATAGGGCAATGCCGCTTGAGGCAGGTTTGACAAATCTCACCTCAGACGTCTTAAGATGATTTGAGAACATGGCACCAGCTGCATTCAGCCCATCTCTGATGCAGGAACAGCATTTGCCTGGGGCCATTTTGGGATGTCCATGAGGCAAAGGCTCCAGAGGTGCCTAAAAGCAACTTGGAGGCTCTTTCTCCTTTTCCATTCTAGAAGGAAAACCCTTAGAGTTTCTCCAGTGCCGTGCTCCAGACATTTGGCTTTCCAAGAGGGAGCCACGTAGTCTGCTTGCAAGCAGGCGCTTCTCTTTCGCACATTAGATGATGCTGAAAGGCCAAGGTTGCAGTTAAAAAACGACCATGACTGGGGAAAGCTGTCCAGACACCCACTTGGTTTAACTGACCCGGAATTCACTTCAAGCACCTCCTTGGTCCTGCAGCCCAATGCACGATCACTGGTACCTGAGTATGGCACAGTGGGGGAACACTGGTGCTTGTGGAGAGGAACGGCTCAGGTACAGCCAAAAGCTGTCAGGATGACAAGAGTTGGGGATGTACCTGGGCTCTGCCTCTCACCATCTGCATTTTCCTGAAGCCCTGACTCCACTACAAACATAAGGGAGAGGTCCAAGAGGCACCTCTGGATGAGATCTGGCCTAAAGCCTCAAATTCAGAAAGAACAAGCACTGCAGAGGTGGAGAGGGAGTGCAGTTCACGCTCAGAATCACAGAATCATTAAGGTTGGAAGAGACCTCTAAGATCATCCAGTCCAACCATCAACCCAACACCCCATGCCCACTAAACCATGGCCCCAAGTGCCACATCCAGGTGCTTCTTGAACCCCTCTAGGGACGGGGACCCCACCACCGCTCTGGGCAGCCTCTTCCAGTGCTTGACCACTCTTTCAGTAAAGAAATTTTTCCCAATATCCAATCTAAACCTCCCCTGACTCAACTTGAAGCCATTTCCTCTTGTCCTGGAACAAAACTGCTCCTTAGGGTATAAATCCCACTTCAATACCTGCCCGAGCTTGGATCAAACCCTTCAGCTGAAGACAAGTCCTCAGGAATACCCAGTGCCATCCTGCTCCATTTCAGCACACAACTCCTGCAGGGCATCCTCACCACCCCCTTTCTCATCAAGTCATCACAGGGGTAGTCAAACCTCCCACCACTCCAAACAGAAGTGTCCCGGGTTGTAGACACCACTCAGACAAACCCCTTCCTCAGGACACACCATCCAACCCAATGACACATGAACCACACACCAAACACGTGGCAATGGACAATTTGTTCTTTATTGATTAAAAATTAGAGACATGCAGTAAAATACAAAGTCCAAAAAAAGAGGGGAAAAAAAGCCTGAATATTTTACATCTTTCATTATAATCTACAATACACCAAAGTTGTGAAGAGGATCCGTTTTCATTAACAGAGCATTGTCCTCAAAAGTAGGAACTAACTTAAAATTACCACCTGCTTCCAGGTTCAGATCAGAAATTTGCACAAAAACCAAATCCTTAATGACACTGGAAAACAATTATGAACAGCATTGGCACTTACTGGAACAACATCAGAAAAAAGACAGTTGTCTAGCACTGTAATAGCCCAAGAAAATATTTTGGATCCCTACCCAAAACATCTGCAGATCTATTCAGCAAAAAAACCCATCAGTTTCTTCCTTGTTTTCTCCATCAAAGAACTAAGGAGCCTTGGGTGAGTGCGAGCTCAAGCTCTCCAAGTCCTGGCTTTGGGAAAGTGAGGAATAACTTAATAAATATGTGCTGCATCGTTCCATTTGAGCAGATCGAGTCCTACCTTTCTCAGCACCAGTGCACAAATGAACGAGGAGGTCCCCATGGCAGGCAGAAGGGAAAGATAATACTGTACCAACATCACCTTGCCTCCGGATCCTAAGGGTTTCCAACACATCCACATCAACCATGGGGTGACACCAAAATCGAGGTGCCAGCCTGCGCTTCCCAAGCCACAGAGCTCGATAAGGGAAGCCGTAGGGAGTGCTCTGTGTCACACAACAGGAGAAAGGGCTAGAGGTGCCACACGTAGGTGCACTTGGCCAAACCCAACCACCACCAGCTCCCTGGTATTGGGCACCCACTCCCTGGGCTCATGAGAGCATCTCCTCAGCACCCTGCGATGCTCTCGCTCCCAAACCTTCTTTCTCCTTTCCCTCCCCTTCGCACTCACCAGCCATGGGGGTACAAACAGCCCATGGGAACATACCCAAAATCCACCTAGAGGCGAAAAGCAACAAGGGTGTTAAAAAAAAAACCAACAAACCAACATGCACAATTCAGGAAGCTTCCACAGCTGCTCATAGGGAACAATATATAAATACAGACTGTTCATCTGAAGACTTGGAAATTAAGAAAAAAGAAGTCCAAATTGAACCCAGTCATTCCACTTTAACACTCTGTTTCTGCATTGTTTGTGGCTGACGGAAACCAAACACGTTTCCATCTGCGTGTTAAATTACAGGCTTACAATTTCTGTGTAGAAAACACTCCAGAGCCAATAGCAGGTACAAAGGCCAACTGTGAAACTGTAGGAAAAAAAAATCAACACCATTTATTATTCACATATTGCATTACAAGTGTCTCTTATCAAACTCAGAGGATAATTTATATTATTCATGTAGGAACTCAAATTCAACACCACGTAGAAATAAAAGCTGAATCCGCGTGTGACAGGGTTGCAGTGACGTCCTGATCAAACCTCGAGGCTTGGACCGACCAGAAGGCTGACCACCCAAGCGATCAGTGCAGGAGGGACACAGCCCGGCGCTCGCTTGCCCAGTGCTCCCACTCTCCTGGCCATTTGTTATTGCTGTGAAACACGGCAGGGGTGGTTCCGCGGGTACCAGTTTGCAAAGGACTGGGAGAGACGTCGGGAGGACTCGCGCAGCCAGGCATAACAGACTGGGTTTCAGGAACGGTTCAAAGTGCACCTTTTGCAAACGCAGAGGGACACAGATCTCCTCTCCCTCTGGCCACGAGTGTTTTGTTGATCATCCGAAAGCCCAGTTTCCAGACAGCAATGCTTCATTGGTCTGCTTCAAGAACAGACTACATCTAAGATGCAGAAATGAGAGACGTGAGGAAGGACTGCTTAACGTAAATCAAAAGGTTCAGCCCTCATGCCACGCCTGGCACTCATGTGGAGAGAACCAAAAAGGTAAAAAAAAAAAATAAAATTAAGGCAGTTTACAAAGGGAAGCTGACTTCTAACACCTCAAAGTCAAGGAACTTCTCAAAAACACAAACGCAAGGGAAGGCGGCTGTCCCTCCCATGGGTTAAGACTTGGCTTGCTCTCTCAGGCGCAAGCTTTCAAACCAGCAGTTTTACAAAACACAGCTGAAGAGAAGCAGATTTCTCAGCACTCCAGGTGACCCAAACAACATGTACATTGGTGTTTCAGATAGGAGAAGTGGGTAAAGAACAACAAAAAGATCCGTTCAGTATTAAAACTTGTGCAAAAATAGCAAGTGAAAAAAAATGAAACCACATGTAAGCAAACATTTAGGCAAGATCATCAGAGCAGTGGAACCCCCTGCTTCGTACTCAGTAGTATTTTTCTTTAAAGTAAGGCAATAATAAAATGAACATGCAGGCAATGACGTGTTGGATCTGCATGTCTGAGATGACAGATACAAAAACATGAGAGTTGTTTACAAAAGGTGTAAACGCCACCGGTAATTTCAGGAAGGTTTGTGATCCTATTAAGGAAAATGTTAAAGCTTCTAGGAAGGGGGCTGTAGTTCAATTCTTTGGCAGTAGTGGTTTGTTTTAGGCTAACAGAAGCATTACGAGTATGCACATGTGGGTTCTCGGTTGGGAAACATCTCCTGGGACCACTGTTTAGCTGATGCTGAGCTGTGCAAATCCTATAAGTTTGCCATCATCCGGAATATCTGAGCCTTCGACACCAGAAGCCTGAAACACAAGGAACAGAGAGATCCAAATAGCAACACGCATTCTGCCCTCCGATAACGTGTTGTCCTATGTATCACAACAAGGTGAACCAGACACCAGACATGCTCTGGGGAGGGAGCAGTCACAGGACAGCTCTGCACTGCATTCTGCAGCTCGCACTGCCCAGAGTTACAATTGAGTGATTTTTTTCTAAAAAAAATTATTTTATTTTTTCCTTTTTTTTTGAAGCTAGGAAGGGCTGGGACTGAAGTGTTGCCAATGTCTGCTCTAACTAGGGCTATGTGCACTAACCGGGGCAAAACAAGAGACAAATCCCTACAGAAAGAGTCAAAAATAATGGCACCTGGTGCTTTGCTACTAATAAACTGGTATACGTTCACTTTGCCACTAGAACTACCTGACTTTTACCACCTCTGAAGGATCTGCTGTTCTTCCTCATCTCCTAGGCTAGCTTCTCTTAGTTTTGGCTCTTATTTTGTCATCCACCATCTCTTTTTTTTTTTCTTTTAAATTTCCCTTCATTTCCACATTTTCTCCTCAAGGACAATGTATCTGACCCCATTCTCCTCAAAGAAAGGAGCCCATGACATTTCTTAGCCCGCTTACCTGCCCCAAAATATTTCTGCCCTTTCTGGGCAAGGGTACATTTCAAGCCCAGAAAACACCCTTTGGTAACATTTTGATATGCTTATTTAACCCACTATAATGGAATGTTTGTATTGGCACATCACCTCACATTTATTTAACCCAGGAGCTTTTCAGATGACACAAGCAGGGGCCCTGCAATTGCTTGCTGTTGGACAACCAGTTTTGGGAAAGGGAGGATTTAGAGCGCATACATTGGATGCCTGCAGGAGACATCACAGGCATCTATATGCAATGCCTTCTCTTTGCAAGTGACAACTTGTTCAATTAGGGAACAGGAATAAATACCAGTTTGAAAGTGACGGATCTGTTTGCTTGGGGCTCTTCCACAATTTTCTGCAAATTAGCTGCAACTGAAATCACACACACACACAAAGAAAATGGGCAAATATTAGGACAGGCTAGAGAAAAACATCCCCAAACTCATTAGGCCTCTTTCTATTACTCAGACTTAGAACTTTTTGAAATTATAACAAATTTAGGTCTCAATTAGACTCAATCTACTTAAATCTAAAGCTTTAAACTGTGAAAATGCTGGCATTTGTTACTCTGCAGCTTTTTCCAGAGGTAGTTATTTTTTCCTGGATGTAGTGGGATTAGTAGCAATAAACTGCCCAACTGCACTGGAAACCCAGTTAATTTTGCACTGGCAGCCTTGCCAGATGTTGCAGTCTGAGTATAAGGAATGGTTTTGCTTGCTCTATTCAAAATACACGGGCAGTGCTGACAGTTTAAGCCTCACCTGCTGCACAGGACGCATTTATTTAGTAAACTGTTGCTAGAAGTAGCTGTTCTCCTAACTGATCAACATGTGCCAGTGCCCTAGGGCACAGGCACTTCACATTTCCTTCCTCCAACCCTACTTAAAACCAAAAAGCCAGGCTGATTCCAGTCCCAGACCTCTCTTGCGCAGGACCTGTGAGCAGCACAGGCTTGTGCAGCAATGTGGCAATGCACAGACGTCAGTGAGAATGATTTAGCGAATGCATCGATCAGCCTTCATGTTGCATTACAGGGAACATTTGCTTTATAATATTTCCAACTCGATGGTATTCTTGTGGACTGGGGGTTGCCTAAATGTACTGGCACAGCACTGTCACCAGAATTAACAGCACTTTTGTAGAGCCATTGGGGTAGAGAACCAAGGCTACGGCAAACTTTCCTAGTACCCACTGATCAGGTCATTTTAAACATGCAAAAAAATTACTGAAATGGTTAGAGTAGAGAAAAAATAACACATTATTACCTATTACTAGATCTCTACCATCAACAAGACCTGCTGAAATGAGTTCCTGAGACACACCATCAGCTGTATCTGTTGGGGAGAAACCCAAGAGCTGGTCACCACACAACAGAAATCATCCAATTGATGAAGGTATCACATAGAAACCTAAAGGAGCTTGTATAAACCAGATAGCAAGAGTATCGTTTACACAAGATGGGTATTGGGGTGTATACCAGGTGCAGTCAGACAGCTCCAAGCTGGAATTCATTGAAAGGCTGCACTTTGGTCATACCCATAAACAGTTTTACAAGAAGCATCTTAACAACAGTGCTCCAAGCCCTTTAGGAGGGTGCTGTGGGCAGACACTCATACAGGGTTTCCACATACACAACTGCACAAAAACCAACACAAAACTTCCTCTTCACCAAAACCACCTTCACACACTGGAAATTCCCACCAGCTCACCTCTCCCTGGGGTAAATTCAAATCGAATATCATTGAGCTCTTTTTTTGAATTCCTGTGGAAAGAAGAGAATTTTATATAGAAGAGACCAAAAGATCAGCGCCCAAAGGAAAGTGCTGCCATTGAATAATCAGTCTGCGAAGTGAATTCATTGCACTCTTCCTCCCTCAAAGGGCAGAAACTGATCACTTGGGTGTGCATCCGGAAGCAGAGCTCTTGGCACACTGTGCCTCTCAACCTGACAGAGGCTGAGGGGGTTGAAGTCCAAAATAAGCGAGTGCCACCTCTCTGGTATAAGGCCACGTTGTTTCCCTGTCTCAGCATCTCTTATCTGTCAGCAGATACACCCTTGGAGCACATCTTTCAGAGGAAGGAAGCACTCACTGACTGCAGATGCACACACATTATGCAACTGTCCAGGAATAACTTGGAGGCGAGGCTTGTAAGTCCCAGTCCAATGCCTATCAACCACCAAGATGCCTACAGGGATGAGAGGCAGGTTCCTCAAACGAAAAATCTCAGTATGTGCAATGACAGAATGTGTTCACAATCCTTTTTCTGCCTATTTCTAGGGACACAGACCAGAAGCCATGCCTTGAATTGGGTAGAAGCTCTTCACTCTCAAAGTGGCTAAAGTCTGAAGTTGTGCCTGAACAGGAACACCAGAACCCCTGGATCCCTGATCCCTTTTAGGAAACCCAGCTAATTCCTCCTTCCCACCTCACCAGAGTTTGGGAATATTTACACAGGTATCAAAACCTCTTTCAGTCTATGGCTCTTGCCAAACCGAAGAAGTGCATGAGATAAATTCCCTTTCTGGGCCCCAGTTTTGGAAGTCTTCCAGCGTCCCCTCTCTACAAAGGCACCCTTTGTCAGAACAGGACAGTTTTGTGTCCTTACCTTAACCTTAGTACAAGGCTGATGGGGACTTTCGTATCTTCCTGTACCGGAGCTGCAGCAGGAGGAGCAGGTGGGGCCTGCAATGAGATTACATCGTTTTAAAACAGATTAACACTACTTTTCTCTGGTTTTAAAAACTAGCAATAACTTTGATTGATTATAAATACAGATAAAAGTTTAAATCATCATTGGAATCACAACAGCACAGTGAAAAAGAAGGCAGACTAATGAAACAGGAGAACTTCATGTTGAAATAGCAATCCAGGAGGGTCTCTCTGCAACTGTCTTGAAAAGAGTAAAAGCTACACAACTTCGAGAAAAGCCAAAATGGCCAGAGATGTCAGAAGAAGTGCTAAATGTAAAACGACTGCTTGCTTTGAATCAAAACTTAAGGTTTTGGGGCATTAGTGACAGCTTCAAGGCCTCCTGCGTTTTAATCCCAACCCCAAACTTCCGATTCAATTGTGAAGAGTATCTAGGAAGTAATTTAATTGGCAGATTAGCACATACTGTCAGTTACTTTTTTTATGGTATCAAAGGCTTTAAAAGCATCTAGCAACAATTTTATACCTGCCTATTTTCACTATTAAATTGTAAGTAATTATTGGAATATGTAATCAAAGCATTTTACAGTGGTCAGCAGCAGATTTTCAGTAAGAAAGATCCAGGAGGTGTCCGCCTTTATAGCGCTTGTGATACTTCCAGTAAAGCACTAATTGTTAATCCATCTTCACCAAAAAGAACCTCAAACCCAAACAAAATAGAGAAGGGTTGGTCACTTTTCCAGTGCACAAGTTACCTGTACTGCACGTGCTGAGGCAGGGATTTTAAATCTGCAGTAACAAGACAGACACAACACTAGGCTGGTAATTTAAACCTAGAAGTCTTGACCAAGTTTTTTCATCTGCATCACTTGCTTTTTCATAAGAGAAAAAAATTATATAAGCCTTTGTTTAGGACAAGTATTTTACTGCCTGTATTATACTGTTACAGTATTTTATTGCTGGTGCTCTTGCACCAGCAATGCAGCTCAGGGCTTCTGATCACAATCTTGTTTCTGTTGAAGCTGAAAGCTTTACCAGGTCAGTGAAAACAAACACGGGTTCATAGAGAAGCCCAGAGGTCTGCAAAACAGTAACCAACGAGCTACAAAATCCAGAGGAGAGCTATAAAGAATAACACACTGATACAAAGTGCTGTGAAGGAGAATATATTGACAAAAGAGAGCTATAAAGAAAAACATAATGACACAAAGAGCTATAAAGACGAACACATTGACACGAAGGTATGAAGTTCACCTTAGGAGAAGCTACTGGCAAATAAACTACTGGGCACCAGTAGCAGGGAGCAAGACACTCTGCTAGAGCAAATCCAAACACTTTCACTGAGTCCAACACTGCTACCTCATTTCACCAGGCTGAGAGTCCTGGCCTTCACTGCTGCTGGAGTTTCAACTGCTGCATAAAATTCAGGGATTAAACACTGGCCCTTTTTCAAGAGATGTGAAGCAGTCCGATTTAAGTATTAAAGCTACTTTTAATTTAGCCAAGAATGTGTCAGACCCCAACTCCATTATTTTTGTTTAATGACTAATGCACTGTCTTGAACCGTTTTGTAAACAGGAACATGAGCTGACTGCAGCAAAGTGATATACGTACCCTTCCACGTTCTTTAAAAATAAAAATGAGGCATTTCTAGGAAGGAGTAAGACTAAGAGTTATTTTACTGACCAATGCTGCCAAGTCGCTTCTCCCTGGGTCTGCCAAAGGGTGGTGGTAGCCCGGCCCCCCCCAATAGTGACAGCCTCTCCACCAACAAATATGAACATTAGCGTCTTTTATAAAAGCGATGCCATCATTCAGGAGTCTGGCAAACGCTGCAGTGCTTTACTCCAGCAAAACCACAAGACGTGTTCCAAGTAACCATTTGGATTAGCTATTTTTCTCTTTTTAACACAAGTCAGAGCTCTTTGCTATGCTTATCTGACCTATATCCTACACTTTGGGGTGACGTAGCTGAGAATTAAACACCAACTTGTCAAACTTTCACATTCCCTGCAATTCTCCTCAAAGGTACCTTCTCCCCTCTCTGCTTGAAATTGAAGGGTTTGAAAGCACCACAGGGATCACAGCTTCCCAAAGATGGGAGTTTCTCCACAAGTTTTGACTGCTACAAGGACAGTTTTAACCTAGGCCTCCTGCATCTCTTCTGAAATCTGGAAAACGCGCATATTCCAGCCTCTTCTTGTCTTTTCTCTCCACTCTTTTCCCATAGATGTTGGGGATGCTGAGACAGATCAGAGCCTGTTTGTGCTGCACCTCAAATACCAGGAACAAGCAGCTGCCATTTAAATGGGCCTCTCCTTTTTTCTTACCTTTAACTTTGCCTCAAGCCAGAGTCCACTCCCTAAACAGCATAAAAAGTTGCTGCTCACCCACACAGTGAGAATGAAAAGCTGCTGCAACCACATCGACTCTCCTCCTTTTCTGAGCCACCAGGCCAGTGTCACTTCTGCATAAATACCTTGCATGGAGTTGATTTAGTGTTCACGTTTTCAAGGTTTCAGATCATTTTAGCATGTCTGGAAGAGAACAGCTAAGTGCAAAGCTGAAAGCTGGTCCGAAGGGTTTCTGATCTTACCTGGGCTGCTGCTGGGGCTGCTGCTGGGGCTGCTGGAGGAGCCTGACTAGGTGGAGGTACAGCAGGTTGAGGTTGTGCAGGTGCTTGTCCTGCAGCCTGAGGTAGTTGAGTAGGTGCCTGTGCTGGAGCATTGAGTGAAGGACCTGGAGGCTCAGCTGATGGGAACAGCTGCAAGCAAAAATGTGTTTTAATGTGAAAAGGAAGTCAGGAGTTCTGACTCAAGCATCAGCTTTCAACACAAAAGTGCTTGTTTGCTACATAAATCACTTAGAAAAGTTAAATCCCAAGGACATTCCAGGTCTTCAGGACACTAAAACTAATCCCAAGTTGCTGTTGAAGGGGTTTAACATTTCCTCAAGTTCAGGGATCCCTTCTGCCCTGACGTTTGCAAGCTTTACTCATCAGTAAAAAGAATAAGAAACCAAGATAGCAGAATAACTGTGGATCTTGGGCAAAAATTGCACACTGCAGCCAGCAAGGCTGGACGCACACAGATCATATCCCAGCTTGGACAGGAGCACCCTATCCCTTTAGTTTCCACCCTTCTCAGAATCTGAGCCTCATTTATATTTCCAAGTAGCCAAGCAGTTAGAGCAGAGCAACTCTACTTTGATTTGTAGTTCAAAAAGCATTAAGATCACTATTGACAATTTATCCATTTGTAAAACAAACGGCAGAATCAGAGCAATCCAGATATTCAACTGAAAAGTGAATTCAGAGCTTAAGTTCTTCCAAACACACAAAACTGTTTAAGATTGGACTTAAAAGACAGTCCCTTGGGAAAAAAAATTAAATGCAATTAATTTGGGGCTGGGGTAAAGGAGCTAAGGAGAGTTTAACTTTTTTTTACCCTTGTGTTATTGAGAACAGAGAAGCTGATTTTGCCATGGCAGCCAAAGAACTATAAGCTTGATGGCACTTCTTAAGTGTGCCCTCCAACTTACTTGGCTAAGTTGTAGGAAATAAAAATCATCTTTAATATTGTAAACCTGGGTAGCAGGCCTTCAGCTCACAGTATGTATTATGGGGTGTACCACAATGAGGAAATTAATCCCAAATGGATTATAATTTTCAGATTTTTCTTTGAATTTAGAGTTTTTGTCAAATTACAATGCCAGAACTGCAGTATTTCTGAAGACCTCCCTTTATATTCACTCCTTGGAAACAGCTGAAGGAAGAACAGGACCCAAGACTAATTACTAGGAAACAGCTCTGTTTATCTTTCCACACAGGTAGGAAAAAGAAAGACATGGCACAGTCTCTAGAAGATAAGCAGTCTCTATCACTTAAAGATAAGATATATTATATTCCTAATGTAAGAAAACAGGACAGAACTGAAGGCTGATTATAAACTGCAATTGAAGTTTTGTTCACTATCTAATACTACTACAGATTTATTTCACAGTTCTGAGCATGGGTTCCAGACCAGCGAATTAGTCTATGCAAACCAGGCATTTAAAGTTGTGTTTTCCTGGCTTTTTTTATAAGAGGAAGTTGGAAGACAGTTGTTTTGCTTAGGCTGTTCTTGTGACCAATTCATTGTCTTACAAGAAGCGGACTTTTGCCATAGCAAGTGAAGTTGAAAACACATACACCAAACTTACCCCAGGAAGGCCTCTTGGCATTACACAGCCAATTATTCTTTTTACAGGGAGATTTTCAAGCAGACCTCAGCTAGATACTAGTTTTCTCACACAATATTGTTTTCAAAGGCTAATAAAAACATGTGTCTTGAAAGAACAGCAGTAACTTGGAGTCATCATTTTGGGAAGCCATTTGCAATCAGAACTTACCTCTGAATTCTGTACAGGTTCTTTCACTCTGGGAGACTGAAAAACAGAGAAAAAGCTGTCATTGCCTAGACAAAAGTGAAACTTACTGACTAGAGGGACTTGTCAGAACCATACTAAACATAAGAAATCAATATAATTGCTTTCAAGTTACATCTGTGTATTAAGATGCATAATGAAAGGGACACCACACAATTTGCTGACAACCGAATAATACTGTACCACCCAGACACACACAGTCACGTTTCAGAACCTGCAGTTGATATCTACACAGTGGCACACCAAACCTAAGCTGCTATCCTTGTTAACCATTAGCAAAAGCCAATATTCTTGAAGATCACTCAGACTGGATCAAATTATGTGTGCACCACTATGGTAAGATCCATTTTAAGCTACACAAGTCTTGCAAACAAAGAAAAGCCACGCAAATCTGCCTTGCTGAATTCCACTAGGAAACAAATCCTCTTCATATACTTGAGGATCTAGTATGCAAACCAGCCTGATTAAACCATATAAAACCTTGGAAAAAAAAAAGAGAAGAAAAAAAAGTCATGTGTTGCTTTATAGAAATAAAGCTCTCGCCTGCTCTCCCTGCCCTTGGACTCTGCATTATGCCGTGCTCTCCATGAGAGAAAGCAGAAAACTGACAGCTGTACAGAGGTTCAACAGTGAAACAAAGAGATCAGTGGAATGGAGGTGAAAGTGCAGTCAAAGCAACGTGACCAACCTCTGCTTATCAGTAAAATAAAGATAACACGCGTTAGCTATTTCACATGAGCAGGAAGGAATTGCCAAGCACTGCTGGTAAGCCCTGCAATTAAGAGAGCCTGCAGCTTTGACTTCTAACAGGTTCAATTACCATGTGGAGATAAGACAGGTGGGATGGCTTGGTTCATGCTGGGATTAATAAAATAGATATAAATTAATAATAATAAATAATATAAATAAACATAAATAAATAATATAAATAGTTTCTTCTCCACACAACTGTCTAGAAGGTTGAGGCTAGGACAGTACAAGTTTGACAGAAGAACGTAAGTCTCACCATGCCACTGCCTTAACTTGAGCCTGTTTATGAACTAACCAATGGTACCAACTTCACCACCACGGATCAGAGCAATTTGTAACATACGACCCAGAGGTGTCTCATGAGAGAAAGCAAATGCTCTTATTTTCAGAGCAGCAAGTTGCAAAAAGCCCTCTGGACAGGAGGAGAAGGAACAGTTCCTTCACGGTGAATATGTGCAGACAGTGTCAGGAGAAAAGTCACGCAGCTGGAAAGGTAAAGCCCGAAATCCATCTCCGTACACTAAACCTTCACTTGACAGTTACCAGGCAAGATGAAAATCATGGCATTGCTCCCAGAGATAAACAGCTCCATAACTGCAGGCTGTCCCTTCAGGAACAAAGCTCATATCCAGGAGTACCTGGATGCCTCAAGGAATAACTCAAAAGGAGCTTGTCTGAAGGATCACAGTGTGCTAGACACTGTACAGACAAGGATGGAAACACTGGCCCTGCTGTACGAGTTTTAACTTATTTTTGCTAGTGCAATCAGAGATGATGGGAATAACCAGTGAAATGTGACCACAGATTTTTTTGAGTAAGGAAGGGGGAATGATTCGACAGCCCACATAGCACAATTGCTTTAATCTGAATTCAAGGTTTTAAACACTGAGAGCAAAGAAGTTCAGTGAGTTTTTATAAATAAGTCGGCTTATTCAATGATTTGGGCAGATACTTATGGTTGTTTCTAATAAATATTTGCTTTCAAGTGCAGTCCTAGCAAGAAACTTGTCAAATACATGCTTGTACATATTAAATTCTTCCTTTTTTTGTTCTCCTGTAAAATGCAGAAGAGCAAAAAACCACAGAGACTTTACATTTCTGTAGAAGCTTTTATGCAAGATAATACTGAAGTCTTTTAGCAAATTAAGTCAATCCACAGGGCATTCTTTTACTTTAAGGCTGACAGCAATACCATGCAAGTACAGCTGGAATTCCAAAACGGTTTGGGTTGGAAAGGACTTTAAAGAGCCATCTAGTCCAGTCGTAGTTAATGTAAGTTATTCCATCTTACAACTCAGTTTAAATTGCAGAAGGATTACAGGCAGGTGGAGTTTACACCCTGTGTTTGAAATATGGCCAAAACGCAGGATTAACACCAGCCCTCAGTAACACCACTGTTAGCGGTCAGGGTTAGTCCGAGTTTGTGATCTTTTGTGTACGTGTTGGGAGAAGGAGGTGGTGGTGTTTTGAGGAGGATTTTCAAGTGCTAGACCAATCATTCCTTGTGAGTTGAGGGATGCTGTAACATTTTCAACTAGGACTAATGGATTTCAGTGTAACTGAGAGGAGAGAACCAGGCCCTGTGCGTTTCAGGTATCGGCCATAAGCACAGGCCCTGCTGATTTCAGGCCCATCTTGGAGAGGGCAGTAGGACAAAACCTCTCCTGACACTTCCAGAAGAAAGCATCTCAAACAATACCCCTAAAACCAACCCAAATATCCTAGCTGAAGTGAATTAGTATGCTGAGCTGGGAGCAGACTGTCTGAAATCATGTTCCCAATTATGCTCAACACCCCTGAATGAGACCAGCTGCGCCCTAAAATGACGAGAGAAAAGAGATCAATACAATTTCTTCAATCTTAAGTCTGCTTTCTCTGGTTCAGCTACAAACTGGTGGGGAGGGATTATAACTTACTGTGTCTCACACTTCAGACAAGGCCACATGCTTCCCAGGGATATTTAGATGTACCACAGACAGAAAACAGGTAGAGTTATTAGAGTTTGAGGACCCACCCTGAGCTGTGAAATTGCTGCTCTGCCTTCCTCACTTTCTTCATCGAGTTCATCATCACTCCACTCCCAGCCACCATCTTCGGTTTTATGAAGACGTCCGCTGGAACCTGGGACCCTCCGGACCTGCTCAGCACAAAGACAGAATTGATATGGCAAGCAGACAGTTTCTGCAGTTGATCTCTTTGGGGAGAAATAGCACAGGAGCATCTTCAGGTTGTGCTTTCAGGGCACTTTAGTATTTTATTGAGATGTCTAGCTCTGTATCTAGAAAATGCTGTACTGCAATGCTCATTAAAAACGTGAATGCAAGCATAAAAAAACCCTCACATGACTGTAACAGCAAGAGCCCAGGAGGTTTTCAGTACCTTTTTGGATCTTTCAGTGATTGTTGGTGCTCTCTGCAACATCTTCTCTTGTAAAAATTCTTTATTCTGAAAAAGAAAAGATACCAAACATTTGCATTGCTAAAAAGGCCCTTTGATTCCTTCAGTGTCTCTGATAAAGAAAGTGTTAAGCTATTTCCAGCAGGACGTGTTTTACGTGTTTCATCCCCATTCCCCCAGTGATATTAACCACTCTCTTCCTTTGTATATGTTTGGGTTTTCTTTTCCTAAATACCTTTCAAGGTCCTCCCTATGCAAAGTGATAGGGAACTAACAACCGAGGAGCTGTATACGATTCTGTCTGATTTACTGGGGAACATGCTTTTACACTTATCACAGCATCTGATACCCTGCTGAGACTTTTGGCATTCTTCCATTTGCAGATACTACACCACCTGGACCCAGCCACTTTGCTTTATCGTGCCCCTAAAGTTATGCCTGTCAAAGGCAAAGCTCAGACGTCAGGCAGGCTGGGATGCAGAAACCTCTATGTGCTGGAGTAACAATCCAGGAATGAAGGCAACAGGAGTTAAGAGTGGCTGAAAAAACAGTGTACAGCACGTGAGGTTTAGAGAAGAAGTAAATGTGGTGTTCACTACTGATTATATATTGGGAAACTGCACATCAAGTGCTCCCAGAACCTCCCTGTGATGGTTTCTTGCACATGGGATGGAGAGCCTCAAAACACACGCTGTCAATTCCTAAGTGGTTCTCAGCATTATCAAAACATACTTTTACATAACACAGACAGTATTTTTTTATATATATATGGTTTAATGTAGATGTATAGAAGTTGGACTCTTCTGGCCCCAAGCTACAGCTGTCAGTTTGGCAGTGGCTGATGTACGAAAGTAATTTAACACTGAGTGTTAAGTGGCACACATTTTCACTTCGGGAGCCAGTTTAAGTACTGCCTCATTTACAGCAATGTTAATTTTTTATCACCACATATGCTAATATGTTACTCTGCAGCAGCTTAATGGAAGCATGAAGGAGATTTTACACACGATGAAGTATAACATGAACCAGAACTCGCGTAACCGAACGGAGAAAGGTCAGCAATGTGTAAACCATCTTGTCACTTTGGACACCGAGCGTGCATCCAGTGCACGAATGCAGGCTACTCAGCTGCCTGAAATCCCATTATGGACAATGAAAACCTAGTTAATACTGTCAAAAGCCCAGGCATCAGTTAAACTTGTCCAAAAGCAAACTCCTACATTTCATAAACTGGATCACTCTCTAGACTTCCTTGGTTGCACTTGTTAAGGTTTCTATCAATTTTAGTAGGACACCCAGCTCCTGTGCAGATACCTAAATGTGGCCACTTCCATTTAAGCATCTTAGTCTGGGAGCTGAAAACTACTTTGATTAACTGGGGAGGCTGCTGTGCTAGCCCAGATATCAGATACCTCTTTGACAGTTTAATCTGCATTCTGCTATAAGCCCCATGTATTTTGATCACAAACACACCACAGAAAAAAATAAGCAAACAGAAAACATTTCTTCATTCCCATTGAAATACAAATCCTCTCCTGTATTATTTCTGTCTCCCCCAACAAGACCGTGCACATTGCATATGTTCTAATCTCCAGGCAGTAATTACATAAATGCTCACTGACATTCACTTCAAGGCTAGAAATAAGAGTTTCCTACTATTTTGTATCACAGGATCTTCACTTTCCATAAGGCAACACAGGGTGAAATAGTTTCAGGCAGCCCCTCTGCACAGCAGGCCTCATTCACTGCTTTGCATACTGACTGATTATAGCCTTTACTGAAATATAAGTTATATTTACTGCCACAGAGACCTTTATGGCTGGACACACAGTCAGAGTGGCACCATTACAAGAGATGAAAAAAAACCCAAAAGCCACTGAAAGACATTTAAATACTCAAGGACTCAAGATAATTTCTCTTAATAGCAGCATGCACAAGGAGGTACAGAAGAGGGGTTTCCTTGTGTTCCTTCACAACGACCCATTCAACTCACTCAGCTACGCTGGCCCTAAAAACCAGCCCACGCTGATGCCAATAAAGCTGTCACTGCACCTATCATACTCCTGGACAAGGCCTCTGCACGGATCAGCTTAGGAAGTTGTTTTCTTACCTTTGCTTTCGTGAAAAATTTGTGTCTTAGGAGCTCTGCTGCCGTCGGTCTGTCAACAAAAGCAGATATGGAGAAACAATTATACATGCTCCCTTTCAACACAATGGGCTGCCAGGCTGCAGCAGCCAGTTGTAACAGGGCGCTGGTTTCTCCTGCACAATTCCCCTAAAAATCAGTCAAGGTATCCCAAGTAAATTTGACACCAACAGTCCTTAAAGCACTCGGTGTGTTCTGATCAAAGCCCATTCTGTTACAAAGCAGTGAATAACTCAGGGGTGGGAGGTTGTTCCCATTTTGATGCTGAAGTGGAGTCTCTTAGAGCCAGTTTGATAGGATCACAGAAACAGTTTGCTCAAAATTGAAACGAAGGCTCATCACCTACAGCAGAGTGCAGTACTCTCTGTGTGCAAGTAACGGAGCTATTTCAGAGACACTGGATTATCTACGTGTAATTAATTCTATTAAACACAGGCCAAACGATCAACCTTTGTCTAATAGAAAAGGAGCAAGTACAAATTATTTTCACCTTTAAGTTAGACTTCAGATAGTGGAAAGTAAAAGACATCCCTTGGTCATTTAGAAGGGGCTTTCTAAAGGCTCAGGCCTACATGAGAAAGTACCAGCTCATGGCATTTCCCACCCTGCAAACTGTGCTTAAACAGTAACAGAGTTCAATGACTTCATTTCACCTCCGACTGCTCTAACAAAAACCATCCACCTTACAGCAAGAGAGCCCCCGAAATAATTATAAAGCAATTGCACCAAATTCTCCTCTTTGAGAGCCCATGCAAGATGCAGAAGCGCATCTGATGCTGCAAGGCGCTCATTAGGGGCTGACCCCCTGCTCCCATAGAGGGGACGATGGCAGCGGCTGTCAGTGGTGCTTCAGAAGAGGGAAGGGGTACGCCACGACTCAAAGTGATTACATTTAATTTTGATCAGCACACATCCTAACCTGCAGGGATGGGATACGCTTTAAAAAGACGTAAAAAAACCCATCAAGCTGGGAAAAACCCCTGCCATCAGCATTTATCAAGCACTCCACCGGATTCATTAAGCATTTCAAGTGTAAAGCTTGTTAGGAGAGAGAGATCCCATCGCACAATGCGTGAGAAGCCTTTGTTCCTCATCTGTCACAGGAGGGAACTGAAAAATGTCTTCATTATTATCATTATTTTATGAAGGGACTTTTTCCTTTCCAGATTTAGTTTTGCTTACTGAGGGGAAAAAAAGAAAACTAAGAGGTATAAAAACTGATCTGAGGGAACGCTTGTTTCTTTACCTTTGCAGTTTAAAGGAATGTTATTCGAAACGCAGGATGAACGCTCCTTTAAACAGCTTCACCGAGACTGGGCAATGCTATGACTGCCCTCCACAAAAATACCTCTGAGCTCTCCTATGTGACAGTGGGATTTAAAAAGTGCTGTAGGCAGCCAGACCCTAACGCAGCTTTGAACCACCTCCTCAGCAGTATTTCTATCACCACCAAGTAGCCAAGCTACTGCTACAAGGAAGACTGAAAGTGCTGCCAGGTCACTTAAGCAACCTGTATTGATGAAAACATGCTGGTAACATTTTGCCAGTGTTTTTCCTGATTTTTATTCCCCCCCCCACCCCCAAACCCAAATATCACTTATAGTTAGGCAACTCAAAACTACACTGAAAGCCTTCTTTGCGCTGGCAAATTTTAAAAGGTTAATTGATGAAGCTTCACAAGTAAACACACATTGCCCAACGTGTAATTTCTGATTCGGGAACACAAAGCAGTGTTGACTGAACAGAACATGAACTGCAGTCACCTGTGGGAGGTGGCAAGGGGGAGAATGGCACCACAGACGAGTGGACTGGGATGCACTCTCATTAACCCAGATGGAAGATATGTGCCCCAGCCAGGCACGACGCCAGGCATTTATCCTTAAAAATAAGGACAGCCAAGAGAATTTGTTGCCGCACAGCAAGATTGCTGTGTTCACTGTGGCTGAAAAGGCTGGAGGGGCAGAGAGTGCACCCGCTTTAAAAAATACAGAATACAATGGGTTTTGTGCTTCTGTTTTAGGTTTCCTCTGTTTGGCTTTTTGTTTGTTTGTCTGAATTTATTTTGGTGTTCCCAGTTCTTACCTTTTTTCGGGGTCTTTCTGTAGACACAACGAAATCATCTTCCTAAATGATTTCCCATACTTCTTCAGCATCTCCTTATCTTGCACACCAGTTTCCAAGGATGGAGGATCATTTTGCAGCGTCAGCATTAAAACCTGAAAGAATTACGTCTATTGGCAATGAGATTTTTCCTTGGCCTTTGTTAGAGACAGATCTTGGGAACATTGTATTTTTGACAAGTGTTTTCATCAGGCATCTGAGTCAACAAGGACTGTTTCATTACAACACCTCTCTGAGGGCAGCCTGAGCTCAGAGTGAAGTTTCCTACAATTTAAACTGTCTCCTCGCATTCACCAGACAGCACAAACTCACTCACCTCAAGGTAATTACAGGGTATCTTTAATTAATTTCACAGGTTAATTAATTTTACAGGTTAATTTACTGTTTTCCATCACATCTCCTGGCCCACGGTGCAGTCAGCGGCCCAAACACGAGGTCAGGATGTGCTACCAGGCTCATTTAATGTGATTAAAGATGCAAACATAACAGAACTCCTACCAGCTTTCTTCATCTGAGACAAGCAGTTGTGCAAGGCATTTGATTCAAAGGCTTTGTTTAGATCTCCCTGCAGGTATTTCTTAGTTAGAAATTAAATTAATGTAAAAGCAGGAGGGCAACATTAAAAAACCCCACGAGGGCTCGCTTCCCTGTACCGACGCAACAGCAGGTGAAGACAGCTCTCACACGAGCACCCATCAAGCCAAACTGATTATATCCTTCACATCACTCAGATATTCTGAAGGAAAGGAAGAAAATTACTCATTTCCATTTTCACTTGTCACCTACATACAGATGAATACCTATTTTTAGAAAAGGAAGCAGCACATAGCACATTTAAATAGCTTCCAACAGCTACATTGCTTAGGGCAGCGAGAGCCCATCAATCTCACTGAAATTATACAGCCCATGACAGAATTCCCTGCTTTTTAACCCTCTCCTTGGAGGGTCACTTAATGCGTGGGTCATTTTGCTGCGTAACAAAATTAATCTGCAGCAAAATACAATAACATTCAATAAATAAAACAACTGAAGTCCCCTTGCAGGCTGCACGACTGCAACCAGCACCTCATAGAAATGGAGATTCACAATTCCGTCTACCACTCGACACCACCAGACACTAAATAGGCAATTTTTGTATTCAAAGCTGCTACCCACGCATTCAGAACAGAATACACAGCAGTACAGCTTGCAGAAGCTACTGCAAAACGCTACCAATAATCACAGCACAGAAGGAAGTATCAATGGAAACAGCAGTAGCTCAATCAGGACCACGCTTCCCTCCACTCCTCGCTGCTCTGCCACAGTCACCAACATGGCACCGACTTTAATGGCGTTTCTGAACCTCTCAGCTACTTGACAGTCCCTGCGCAGAGATGACACACATCTTAAAATTAATTCTGTTCTGCAAGAGTTCAACCAGTGCAAAATCCTGTCATTTAAAAGCAATACATGGATGTGCCTGTTCTAATGGGTTAGGAGCTATTGGATTTCCAACTGCTACTGTAATTGTGGGGTGGGAGGGGATGCACCCAGGTCCTAGAAGAGGTGACACTCAACTTGCACAGCACTCCAGCAGTTAAAAGACTCAGTAAAAGACTCAGGAAAGGAAAGCCTGCCTCATGATATGCTTCAAATTGAGGGACTTGGCACCCATAGGCTTCATACCCTAGGCAACCAGTCTAACCATAAGTTATGGGGTCACTGAAAGGGCTCTCCACGCCCCCCACCACCCCACAATTTGATTTGAGGGAACATACATCCCAAGAGGAGAAGCAATGCGGCCTTCAAAAGTGTGGGCCCAAGTTTCGTGACTGAGACAAAGCCCCATCAGATCTCAGAAAGGGCTAAAGAAGATCTCACAGCTCCGTAGAAGAGCAGGATGCTTCAGACCCCAACTGATGGGGTCAACTCTGTTAACTTCAAAATGTAGATGTCCCTGAAAGGACAGCATCTTGGAAGCAGCTCCTGGTTCAAGAGCCAGGAAACAGGGAAAGTCAGCCAAACTATAAAGCAATCTAAAGTTCAATCTATTTTAAATAGATTTTTGAAGTGTCAGTGTTTAAACAAGAACATTTTGTCCACCTCAACTTCAACAAAATGTTAACGTTGCTCATGCCATTTCACACTGAGGTGGTACTTTTCACTGCTTCAGCGACTGACAGGACTGTGTTGGCACTAAACAAAAGAAGGCATTCTTCTGGGTAACTGGTAAGACGTTTTCTGAGAGTTAAAGAAAAACTATCAGCGCAGGAGAAGGAACGGCTCACCATCACAGTGGCACTGGATGCCAGATACCACGTTCTGAATCATTATTTATAGCCCTAAAAACAACTGCTGTATTCAGAGGCTTCGGGATTAAAACGCAGCACTTTCCTCAAGAATGGTGACCCTGGGGAGACTCGGGATCTAAACAAAAACTGCGCTCAGGTTCAGACAATGCTGATTAAAAAGCACATTTTTAAGAGGTGACTTCAGATAAATCCAAGACCATTGTGATCCACAAGTGCAAAGGACACTCTCTTCAATGAAGCATGGTGGACAAATTCTTGACACAACCACAAAAACACACTGATCCTCGCTCTTGCACCAGTATCTGGAGATCTGCTCACCTTCATCGGCGGGTATTTATGGTAAGGAGCTGCTCCTGTAGCCAGCTCGATAGCAGTGATCCCAAAGCTCCAGATGTCCGCCTTGAAATCGTATCCTCTGACCTGAAATATATTAGAGGACGTTAGCATGTGCCTCTTGCTGTCCTACGCTTTCCTTAGCCTATTACACATCCTTTTGCCCTTTCCCCTCAAGATCTGGAAAGACCAGCACTATAGGGTTGAAGAGATGGAGAGAACACTTTGATCCTTCTCTCCCCAAGCTCCTTATACCTTCGAGAAGGTGTTTTAGAAGTCACAGTCTGATGAAAATCATGGCTGTGGAGTGTGCTGCTAGGACTGCTCTGCCATAAACTGCTCCATGTGTATAGAACATAAAGACGCACCGGGTTAACCCAGGCTCCGCTTTCGACACAAAGACACAGAGAGTCGTTAAAGAGCGTAATGAAAGTCTCATAGTTAATAGATGGACCATTATCCCCTCGGGACGCACGTCTCACTACACTTTTAGTCAACCGCTTAATCAATGTGACTGCAAACGCGCTCGATCCCGAAACCCCAGTACACACCAGCTCGGTAAAAAGCCTCTCGTTCCTGTCTGCACACGAGCATTTCCCTCTCCACTAATTAACGGTAGCTTCTGCACTTGACATTAAACACAGGCTTGTTCAGGAAAATTTATAGCATTTGCTTCCCCTCCTGCACAGGAAAATATATTTCATATGCCAAAGCAGTTACTTCCTCGTTATCATTAGGTAATACTTTGGCACTCGCTTTCTCCACGGCAGGGGAGAGACATCGTGTACGGACTTCAAGAGCAGCAACAAAAATCAAAGCATTTTGGCTGCTCGGAATGGTTTGTATTTCTTCTCAGTAGACTATGGAAAAATGAATATTGAACCAGAGCAAAACTAACAGGGATATTGTGTTCCGCTAACCTAACAGGCTTTAGAAAGACACTCGTGATGAAGCCAAAACCATTCCCCAAACTGCCTTTAAGATGATCTTGAATTCTGGCAAACAAACCAACCAATCCTCTTGCACTGTTTTTCATATAATACCACCGTTGAACTGAAATTTATTATAGCAACAGGAGTTTATATCTTGCACTAAAACCGTCTGCTCCGCAGGCACTGTTTCATGAGCCTTAAAGGTCTGAAAGGCTTCTTAAAGCGCTGCAGTTTATGGATGCCATGACTATGAACAGATTTAAAGTCATTTGACTAAACAAGCACAGATATCGACTATAATTTAAAAAGAACATAGTGCAGGAAGAAATATGCTGCAAGGGTAGGTTCCCCCCCCCCTTCACACTATTTTTAGGTTTTGAGAATAACTTTGGGACATTTCTTAGCTTTATCTTTCAGTTAATCTTGCAGCACATCTACACACTGCACAACTCCCCATTCCCACCAGGATTTTAACTGTTTAGTGTTTGTTTGGGTTTAATTTTGGCTTTTTAAAAAATTTTAATTATATTCTATAATCCTGTTCGAAAGCTACAAAACCCAATTGAAAGCCACGAAGTTCAAAGCTGTCTACAGCAGTGCATTTTGACAGCTGTCCAATACGTATCAGCTTACATCAACACTTATATTCCTCATGATTATTATTTTTTTTCTATAAATCTGTCAAGCCAACGTACATTAAAAGACAATGCCAGGCTATTGTGTATTAACTGCTAAAGGAACTTAATGATGCTGAATTAAACCAGACGATCTGGGTCGATAATATCTACATATGGCAGAGGCTAAACCTACAGCAACCCCTTGGGCCTCTTCCTGGCTTGGATGTAGCGGCTCAGAGTGACACCTGCTGGAAGGCAGCGAGATGATACGGGTGGACATGGGAGGATTTCACATCAGCACCCAAAATACCTCTCTACCGTCCAATATTTGCAATGAGTTAGATGTGCACAGCCCTCACGGAAGTATTGGACTCCCCAGAAAATCTTTCTCCTTCAGAAACACATCTGTTGCATAAAGAACCCTCTCTGTCACCAAAAACCTTAATTTCCCCTTTTTAGCACCATTCTTAAGATCTTTTTTTCCCTGTTGTCCTGCAGACTGCAGCCACCCTAACTGCAACCAGCCGGGAGCAGCACCATCAGGTCCTGGCCAGCCCGTTGGCCCACAAAAGACAGAAAAGCAAGAGCCAACGCTGATCTGGTTGTGGAAACACTGAATACTCTATTTTTATTTATTTTTAAATCAACGTAACAAAAAAATCCAGAAGTATATGACAGTGAAGCAGCTCAGAAGCAAGTTCACAAAGCTACTCCTGACTTGGGGAATGTGTCTTGTGCTCTACAGTGTCAGACTTGTACGTGAGGAGGTGGCAGGAGCCCCTCAAGGCCACCACGGGGATCCACTGAAAAGGCCAAACAGTGAAAAAGCTTTTTCATCAGTAGGATATTTAAGGCACTCCAAAATTATCTCAATTCCTCAGAAAGTTTTGGATAAAGACAAAAAAATGCGTTCAAGTTTTAGCACTGTTTTAGCTGCATTTCACTTAAAAAACCAAACCCAAACCCATATACATATATGTATTTTTTTAATGTTTATGGGGATCTTGAACCCCCTCATAAATATATATACTTATATTTATAAATA